GAGCAGTTTTAATTATTCATCTCCTAAGAAATTGTGTAGAATCCGTTGCTTCCAACTCTGTGGGCACCACGTCTGGACTGGTCTCTTCCAACAATCTCTACACATTCCAAAAAACAAAAAACATATATATGGGGTTACACTCCCACGTACATATACAGTATATATATATATATTTGGGTTTTTGTTTGGGAGGGCTTGCGAAAGGGATGTACAAATACATTACAAAGTGGCATTGTGGCATTTGAAATCTCATGCTGCTGCATCATTTGCATTTTGTGGATTTCTATTCTCGAAACAATATTTTTGGAAGTCTTATGCTGACTGACAAAACTCTAATCTGGCACATGAGATAAAATGAGTTGTGAGATGTTTGCCGAGATAAGGTCAGACTGTGTTCCTTGTGCCGCTCACTAGGATTGTTGTTATCGGAGAGACTTTGGCCCATATCATTTTTCAAAGCAAGAATCCACCAGCGCAGCAAGAGTAATCCATCTTGCTACCGCTGACAATTTCCTGTGGAACCCGCGCATGCTCTTTATTCCTCAAGGAATACCTCAGCACGTAAGAGATGAATATCTGTGAAGCGGGAGAGCAATTTGTGATTAAAAGAATCCTTTGGCAGAACATCCACAAACCCTTTGTGGCCCAGGACGATAAACTGTGCGCCCTTGCGAGGCAATTAGCGGCGCCATCTCAAAATGTTCCATTGAAGCGAAGTGGGACATTCTCAGTGAGCCTGTGTCATGAAGATACCTTGCTGTAAAAGCTCGACACAACATTTTGCCCTTGATGGTTTGTTTACACTTGAATTAAAAGCTATAGCTTAGAATGATGAGTATTGAGGCTTAACTTTTTTTTTTTTTTTTTAGCGCAGCGACCACTTTCCAGAATGAATTAGTTAAGGCCTAATGAATTGGGGGTTTTTTTTGGAAAAAAACATCATCATTACATAAAGTCAGGGATTATTGCTTGCAGTACAGCATGACTCTCCCCAAGGATTGTTCTAATCAAGCATTCGTATTTGCGGCCTCAGATGCTGCCGTGCTGTCACAACTGTGGTGTGCGGTGGTCCAAAACAAAGCTCAAGACAGAATCGTTTGCATTTCCTTAGAAGTACCGCTCTCATAAAAATGAAAGAAGCGGTTCGCTCAAGAGAATGAACAGAACAAGCATGCCGCAAGACTGGTGAAAAAAAAAAATGGAACCAAAAATACTCTGCGATGAGCCCACCCCTTTGGCCGACATCAGCCGGGCTCGACTGCAGCACACCCTCGCGAAGAGGACAGTTTATGAAGAGGGAATGAATGCAATTATTGATCGTACATAAGCCACTGCTAATGTGGGTAGTGCGTAGGGGGGTTGAACACTTCATTCTCCCTTTCCTTGCTTTATTCACCGTCAGACATTTTCAACGGTGGTCACAACGTGGCACATTGTCAAGCATTGACTGACACCTTCAAACGGCGTTGCTGAAATGGTCCCTTTACAAATGGTCCCCTGCAGATGTTGTGAAAGCGCAAATACAAATAAAAGATGGATAGTAGTGCATTGTCGTGTTTTAATTTAATTTTATTCTTCATTGGACTGTAATTGGGCTCCAATAAGCCATGTGACCTGTGCTGTTTGAAAATTTTATACCGCGGCTGCATCGAGTCAACGAAAATGTTCAGTGGAAAATGTATGCGTTCACAGTTGATGTTCAGTGTTTACAAAAAATATATAATTTTTTTTTTTTTTTTAATGACATCCTCTTTTTTTTTAAACGTTACATTTCCCTCAATCTAGCTTTACATGTCAACGATGCCGGAACTCCCAGCAGAGTGCCTTGTGGTTATGCTCGGCTCATTCATTGCAGCTAATGTTGCATGTAACAAGGATAAGAGTCATTGGTACAGATGTGTAGCAGTTCCAGCAAAAATCAATATCAATTACACCTGGATTGAAAAATTGTCTCAAGTCGATGTCTTCTTTTTTTTTTTTTTTTTTTTTTTTTAACAAGCATCAGGCAATCTCTTTGTTCATCGAAAGTGCAAGAACAGCAAATTCAGGTCCACACTTGCCAGTAGATATCTAATTGACCTTTGACCTTGATGTAACAGAACGTGTTGGTTGGATATAACCTCGCTTGAACCACACACGCAAGAGACTTTGCCATGTTGCGGTGAGCTGAGCAGGCCTCAGCATTTCAGCACTACACAGCCAGATTTGATTTATGCCTTTCGCCGGCCGATTTCGCAGCACACACAATGAGGGGAGACTGCATTTCAGTTGGTCTAAAACAGAGCCATCCCGTTGGTTTTCAAGCGCTCCAGAAATACCGTTGAGTCGAGTTATCTCTGCGGAAAAAAAGAATGATGCATTTTCCTCACAGTCCGTCAAAGCGCGAGCACAACGTTTTGTGAACTAATCCTTTTGGAAGAAAGACGATCTGATTTTGCAAGCCGTGTCTGTGCGCTGAAGCGAGGATGTGAATGTAGAAGGTTTTCGCGGAGACTAATGATTTGGCGAATTCACCGACAAGCGCGTGACCATCTTGCTTCCTGTGGTGTCATGGCTGAGTTATTCCACTGATAGAATCTTAACCTCTATTTTCACAAGCTCGGTTTATTTTCCCTGTTAATTAAGTAGGTGCACACACAGGCCTGCACCCTGCGGCCACGCCGCCAGCCAGCCATGGCATATCAAAGTCAATGAGTATTCATCAACAGCCCCGTTCGGAACGCTCACATTTGTGATTACGCATATTGTTTGCATGTTGAATCCTTATGAGGGTGCGTCCGTTCTTTGCCAAGTTGGGGTGTTTCTGCACCAAGTGAGCAAACATGATTCCGCTATTTGAACAGGCGGCCTGTGAGAGCGCCAACGTACACTTTGTTCAAAGCTGTCAACACACAATATTCATGTGTTTTCGGGACCTGTTATTGGTACTGTGGCAATTTCCTCTGATGACAAAAAAAAAATTATTATATCTATCTGTATATATTTTTTTCAAACAGATCAAAGACACGATATGTCGAGTGAAGAATCGCATCAAAGGTTTCAAGTGTCTTTTTGATGGAGAGCGAAGTAGTTGCCTGCGTCTCTTAACGACATCGCAAAGAGAATTTAAGGAAATAACAACAGCGGGCTTTTTATTTTGGTTTTCCGTTTGGGGTGGGCTCTTTCCTGTGATTTCCACTTCACAGTGGCCATGAAGGCAGCTCTGTGACTGATGTTGTGTCTCTTTCATCTCGCCACATCCCAAGGAGGATCAGCACCGCACCGTCCTACCCCCAAAATACACACCTGTGTTTTTCACTCGCCATGTCACCTTGTTTGAAAATAATCAAGCGGATAGGACCGATATTCCTGTGTCCATTCAACTGTGCCAGACAGCGATGAAAGGAATGGCACTCGTGTTCATCTCGGCCCGTGAATTATTGATACGTGCCCCTTCGCTGGCATTCCCCAAGGATGGAAATGGGAAACATCTCGTAAAATGGGCCCCCCCCCGACGAGACATTTTGTCTGGGCCCGTAGCGGAGAAGGGAGAATGAAATGTAGGGTGAGCCATAAGATTTTTTGCTGCCACTGGCAGTTGCAACTGAACAGTTCTTACATTGACCTCATGTGTTCTTTGTCTTCAAATAATGGACCCCCCCCCCCAAAATTGCTGCTGTAGACTGTAAATTTCCCCAGTGTGGGACAAATAAAGGATATCTTATGATCTTATAAAGTACATGTAACAAACACAGACAAACAGTCAGTCAAGATTTATACGATGGATTGCGAAAAAATGAATAGAAGGCTTGCGATATTGCGACTGAACTCCATGTATGTTCCACTGTCCTTGCATGTTGATCCTCCACCGAGTCTTTTCTTATGGCTCGTTTACGCTCAAGTTTCCGCCAGCCGCAGCGGGCCCATTTTTGGCCACCCTGGACAAAATAGGCCGGTCGTGACACATTAGAACTCCACAAAATGCAGATAACACATTCCCGATTGTCGGGATGGGCAAACATGGTGGATCACGTTCGCCATGGATGCTCAGCAAGATTTTTTTTTCTTAATGTCACCCCAAAAATTTTGACATGGCAGTCATGGACGTGCGAAGTTTTTCACTTGCACCCAAATTCCAAAAACATGCATGTTAGGTAATTTGGAGACTCTCACTTAGGTGTGAATGTGAATGTGACTGTTTGCTGTGATCAAAGGTGTGAGTTTCCACAAATAGCCCACTTTTACGCCTTGCACCTCATCCACCCTGGACAAAACACCAAGTGAATCATGTTTCAAGACTAATCTCACAAACGCAAAAACGGGAATTCTAGGCCGAGGTTTGTTTGATGCAGTTTGAAAACACAACTTTAGCTCGAGTTTATTTCATAGTTGTTAGACTTTGACGCAATTCCGGCACCCTCTCCTGTGCCCCACCCTCCACCTGCACTTAATCTGCATTCTAGTTTCAGCCATTAAACATTGAAAATAAATGAATAACAAACAGTCAAATGCCTTCCCTGTCGTTAGCTTGAACAAGAATATTTTGTTTTTGCACCATCTCTCTGCTCATGTCCTTTGGACTCACTCTTTCCACTGTTATTTGAAGTCAACAGTGCTGTTGTGTGCACACATCATTTTCCTTTTCTTGAGGCTGAAGCAATTTGCATATAGGACTACACTTTGAAAATTTGCTGTTTACTAGATTTTTTTTTTACTCTCATCAAGAAAAAAATCAACTTTTTTTTTCAGGCTTTTTGACCTTTTTAGAAGCGCTCATGGCCATTGGATAAAGGGCATGCATTGCAGTTTCTTAAAGTACCGCGTTGGATTATTTACCGGCAAAGCCGTTAACCGATTATTATTTTCTTTGATTGAGAAGACAAATGTTTTAATTAGATATAGGTTGTACTTTATAACAGGAGTCTATGTAATGTAATGTATAACGTGTTATATATTTGTATCAGTGCTGTACTTGAAGAATAACTTTTTTTCAACACACCGTTTGTATATTTTCACCACAGGGTTTCCATTCTGGATAATGGTAATCTTCGCATATGGAACGTAAGCAAATCAGATGCTGGACCCTACACCTGCATAGCCAGGAACCAGTTTGGTGTGGCTAGTAGCACAGGAAGTGTCACGGTTAAAGGTAATTTCCATTTCCATTTCCTGTACACCAAAATTTGTTCTTTATGAACTTTCAGATCCAAGTGATGACGAACGGGTTTTTCAAGATATAATCCAGAGGCCTCTGGATGTTTATTGCCACTCCCAATTAACATTTTCTGTCAAGCTAAACATAAGACAACATAATTTTGCTGAAAAGTCTGCTCCGTTAATGCTAACACTGTGGAGCAACTCAAACTGACACGACACAAATATTCACAGGCATATCTTCTTTATTCTCTGCAAAGAACGACTGGCACTGTCTTCATGTACTGTGTATCTGCATGATACTGCCCCCAGGTGGCCATCCTCCCTGCATCTATTAATTCATCCATCCGTCCGTCCATCCCATCTTGCTGCTCATTTCTATGACAGTGCCGTTTCAGAGGGAGAAAATGCTGACGAGTCCCAAAGTGTAAATTAGCGATATCGTTCCCAGCGTTCAACTACGTTGCCAACCGGTATATAGAGTACTCAAAATACGTTTTGGAATAAGAAGGGAGGACAAGCGACTGTGCTACTGGCACAATATGCAAACCAGAATTCACCTTTTTAATTGGTCGTTCTTGTGTCTGGAGAGCAGAGGTGTTGTTACACATGAGGCAGAGCCACCTCGCCACGTGCTTTTGCAAAGGTGTTGAAATCACTCGGCACTCTCACCCCAACTGCCCCGATATCGTCTGAGGATCTTCTGTGTGGAAAAAGACCTCATGTTGTTAGATCGTCTGCAATGGGAATTGCTTTCCTGCTCTGGTGCTGTGACTTATTACACTTCATTAAAAATTAATGGCAACTGGGTATAAAGTGCTGTGCATTGAGTGCCTCTCGTCTGTGCACACTGCTGATTTTCTTCTCTTTTTCCACTGGGGATTGTGTTATCAACTCCTCGAGTTTGTAGGGGACTTGCCGACATAATTAGTGAACCATAGCCTGACCATGACCCGCTTTGGCCGAGGTTGCTGGTTCAAATATAATGATATTTTTTGTTCTGCTTCGAGTTTCTTTGTCATTCTTATTTTGGGATTATAGGATTCCTCATCTTTAGCTTCGGGGAATTTCTTTTTCGGCTTGCATTCAGAATGGTTTTCTCAACTTTCAAGTCAACTCAAGTGAATTTCTGGAGCACATGAAAACAACCACCGCGGTATACAAAGTATTGTACATGGAGCAAAAATAATTCATACGACAAACAATAAAACAGAAAATGAACGTCAAAGACAGAAGAAAGCGCAAAAACAGCAAAACTAAAAATCAAGTCTCATGCTGAGTGAAAAGCCAAAGAATAAAAATGACTTTCAAGAAAAGTTTTAAAGATTTATAGCGAGAGGACTTGCCGAACATTCAGTGGAAGCTCATTCCAAAGAGAGGGACAGCCAACGGAAAAGGCTCGATCTGTTGCACATTTCGGGTGAAGGGGCTGAGCAAATAGGCTGAGGAGGTTGAAGTACACAATCTCATCGTTTTGAATGGTAAACGTGGCTTTTGACGGTTAGCCTGAATTCGGTTTGATAAATCCTGTGGATTCATCTCCGTATTTCCACAGAATTTTGAAATATTTCACCCATGTGTCGAGACTCACCAAAGCAGATCGGCAAACTTGTGTGGCAAATTTGAGTCCAGTCGGTTGTGTACAGCGCTGTGCAAGAACTGATAAATAACCAGACGGTCAGAAAATGGAAATGTGTTCATTAAAAGATGTCTCAATACTTTGACTGAAACTTTAATTACTGAAAGAATACTCAGGCAAGCGTGGTGAAAAGTCGTAACTGTTGTTTTCACTCAGTAAGGGAGGACCAAAAAAAAACCCGTCGCTCTTCTCCCGTATAACTTTTAACCGTCTCCTAGGACAAGCTGTGAAATCTTTGACAGTGTATCATCTAGAAAGCATATGATGACAGCATCAATTCTATCTTCCCATTTGTTTCATTCCAATTTATGAATCGAGTGAACATCAATCGTCATATTCAAGCCAATCTTACATCATAAATATTAAATATTATTGATACAAAAATCCACCTCCCTTCATTTAATTTGGCGAATATTCCGGTCCTTCCGCGTCATCCGGAGATGACTTCAAATCGAGACGTGTTTCCTTTTTCTCCTTTGAATTATAAAACACAGATTTCATGCATTATGAATGCTCGGAAGTCAGCCGCAGTCAAGAATGTGGGAGAGAGCTTTGAGTGCACGTTGCCGCTGATTTCCGACAACCACATGCCCCCCTCCCACTCCCCACCCCCCACCCCAATTGTGAGCTCTCCGACAAAAATGAGAACTTTCCTAAGGATTTAAGAAAAGCCAGGCTCGAGAATGCGCTGCAGTTTTTTGCAAGGAATCATCATGTAATTCCTTTTCTCGTTATTTCTGTTGTCATTTCACACAAGACCATCATATGATGGCGTTACTGCCTCCACCCTCGGGCAGCCAGCGGGCAGGTTGAGACCTGCTGCTCCCTGCAGCTTCAGCTTGTTGTCTGCATGTGTGATTTTCCGATGCAGCCGCAAGGTAGGGTGCCTGGTAATGTCTTCTCAGCATAAATAGACGCCGCCATTACGGCCTTCGCTTCATCAGAAAGTCAGGGTTTATTAGACACCCCTCCGCGGCTTTTCCATCATTAAATGTACAGGCGGTTTTCTGCAGCTGATGTACAAATACTCCCCAATATGATTTCACGCCTTTCTGTCACATTCAATCTTGTCTCATCAATGTGACGGGGTAATTTACATGCGTTATTCGAGTGAGAATTGGAAACCTATTTAGTGGGGGTGGCGTGGGGGGGGGGGCAAATGTGTGTTGGGAGCAGCTCTTATGGGAGATGACAGGATGATATTCCAATTGACTTTGTTAATATGAATGCTGAAAAATACCTGTCAGGAAGCATTGCGAAAAGGAGTCACCTCGAAAACAGCTCAGGAGGAGCAGTCACAATAAATGAGCCTTGTTAATGTCCACATTATGCCAACACTTGGGGGATATTACCAGATTAATTGCATTTGATTAGACATGCGCCGGCTGAATTTAGATTTCGCCAGGCTTGAACCGGTGCCAATTAGTACACAGTACACTTAGTCAATATGCGGGACACCAAGCAATCAGAATCAACCTTGTCCTGTCACACTTTCTTTTGGGTAACGTGGGGCAGAAATGATTTGTCTTCATCCATCTCAGTTGACCCACTCTCTAGTTTCAGTGCAGATGTTTTGAAACTGGCAGTTTAAAAACACTTTGAAAAAAATTGTGATAACAAACAAGATCGGATGATAAGAAAATGTATTATGGGATCATGATTTTGTCAGATGGGCCAGCCCAACTAATGAGATGTAAAGGTGTGTGTGGTGGTCGGTAGTGGGAACCAGCTCGAATAAAAAAAGATCAATTTCACACAAAATTTATAACCCCTCCCAATTTGTAATGCATCAATCCTTTATGCTGTTCATGCACTGTAACCATACGAGTGGCGTATGCGTGTGGGATCGATAAGATGGACAACGAGGGAATGGTTGCGATGCTGGAGTGTTGATCAGGCTGTGCTGCTTGGTTGAAGCAAAACAACATTAAAAGGAAAAATTTTGAATACTGTTCAATCCGATCCGACCCTGTGTGGAAACATGCTGGCTCCCCTTGTTGAATTGTTGATTAACTGTGGCTAATCAGTTTTCAGAAAGCTGAAATCATTTCGACTGCCCACAACCAAGCCTGATGACCTCCAATCGTATTCATTCAATCAAGAAATCTCAGAAATAGAACCTGTCTGACAAAGCAAAGTTGGTGAAAAGATATTACAAAGAAAAACTGGAGGTTAGGAATAAAGTATTTGATATCTATTACTCTGAAAAGGGTTATAAAGCCCATTCCTAAAACTTTAGGACTCTGGGGAACCACGGTGATAGCCGTTATTCAGAAATAGAGAAAACATGGAGCACTGGTGATCATTCACAGGTTTTTCCTAAGAGCACGGCAGCGACTAAACCAGGAGGTCACAAAGGAAAGTTTGGGGTGAATATTCTGAAATGACAACAGTTGAAGTTTTTGGCAAGTGCATGTGTCTCGTTCCATCTGGTTTAAATTTATCACAGCATTTTAGGAAAAAGGACCTTATACCTCCAGTCAAATATGATGGTAGTAGTATGATGGCCTGGGGATGCTTTGATTCTTCAGGGCCTGGATGACTTGCTGTCATTTGCTGTGATTTATGGAACCATGAGTTCTCCTCTTTACCGGCAAATCTTGAAAGTGAATGTATTGCCATCAGTTTATGAACTCAAGCTGAATCGCACTTGGTTTCTGCAGCAGAACAGTGATCCAAAACACACCAGCAAGTCAATTTCTGAATGGGTTACAAAAAGAAAAAAAAAAAAAAGAAAGTTTTGCATCAAAGTACAGACTTCATTCCGACTGAAAGGCTATGGTATGATTTTAAAAAAGCTGACCCCCTAAACTTAAACCACCCAGTTGTTCCACCTGATGGCATTACTCTCACCCCTCCGCTTTTGTCCAGGAAATTTCTATAACACCAATGATATTGTCGAATTATCTGCAAGGTGCCAGCCAGGTAGTCAATTAAAAGGGACAATAACCTTCAGTCGTAACCTGAAAATGGGAAATGAACGTGTGATACAAGTGAAGCTTGTCACACTGATTTGTAGACGGGCATCTCTTTGTTTGAAAGACCATGGTCTGGGGAGTGCAGATAAAGACTTTTAGTAGTGTTGTTTCCGTAAGAAAGTTCAGAAGAATGAGACAGAACAACTGATGTTTTAGTTAAGTTAGCTTGTTTAGTTTGTTTTTGTTTTTTGTTTTAAGAACGGAAAGCGATAATTCTCTATGTTGTTCAAATATTGCGAAACCGCCGTACGCCACATACATGGAGTCACTTAAATGGTGTCAGTGTCTCTAATTAAATTGGCTCACCATGCGGGTTACTGTCTTTTCCATTGTAGAGGCAAAGGGCAACAAGGTATCACGCTTAACAAAAATCAATCAACCTCTCTTTCCATATAATCTGCCAGAACTGGTGACAGAGGAGGGCGGTAATGCAGCCCATTCTCCTCATCTGTCAAAAGTGAATCCCTTGAGCTACTTATAGCGATCAGGTTATGCAAACTGTGATGGGAGCAGTTTATGTGAGAGAAGAGACAGCTACAACAACCCCAGTGGAGAGATGAAAAAGCAAATAAGGGTTTATAGCAGGTTACCGAGTTGCGTAGGTAGAAGAGTCAAATATTCCTGACAGTAAGTGTGTCCCCGCAGATTCTTCCTGAGGGTTTTGTTTTGTTTCGATGCTATTGCTTTGTTTACGTGTTTGTCTGTGAGCTGGATTCCGAAAAAACAAAAACATACATACAGTGTCTAAATACAGCACACTGATTTAGTCCAAACTTGGCAGAGCATGATGCCTGTTCATTTCAGGGGTTGGTTGGAGTCGTCTCTATATAGGGAGAGTAGCAAGAGTGCGGAACTTTGTCTTCTATTGACTTTGATGACCGCCCACTCTTCTCCCTCGACCGTTTCTCATGCAAACCGCAAAGCGCTAGCATGTTGTTGTCCTGACACGTTTGCTTTTAGGTGTTGCTTCAATTGCTTCATTTACTAATAGCACCAAATAAGTTTGCTTGTTTTGTCATTTGTTTGATATGAAGCACGGTTGACCAAATCCACAAGCTTATGGAGTGATGGGCCAAACGGTTCCATTTTCAATCCAAATAGGTGAAAGAACTTTGGGATATTTCTTTTGAAAGTGACTTCAATGTAAACAAAATTGCAACATATCATGCAGTGGCACATGGGAGGGGCTATTCTGTGGTGCTTTTCCAAAATGAGGTGAAGGTTCAACAGTTTGCCGTTCAGTACTGGTCAACCCTGGTCTCGGGGGAGCGAATAAATTTGTTGGTCGACATTAAAAAAAAAAGGATTCAATAAATGCCATGGTAAATACCGCATAAGGGGTTGCATTTGTCTGTGGATTTTAAAAGGCCAACACAATAAAGAGGCAATGAAGGCTATACATTGCCTGGACGTTCTAATCTATACTTTTCCCAGGATCATTAGAGAAGTTGAGCTGAATCTTGTATGCAGATTGGGTAGCGATTTAAAGTAATCACAGCATCCACCGGAGGTGGGGGGGGTGTTGTTGTTCACTTAATGAAGAAAGCCTCTCCCTCTCATCTGGCCTCTTTCGCCCTCCTCATCTTCCACATTTGACCAAGTGCAGTTCGGGGACGCGTGCCTTATCCCCCGGCAATGCCAGCGCTTTGCACTGCAATTTCCCAAAGAGAGCGGCGAGGAGTCACTGGTGTTGACTGTTTTTCTTGCGGTGTGCTTTGGGAATATCAGGAGGAGTTCCAGGCTAAAGGCTGAGTTGACAGTGACTCACTGTGACTCGTCTGAATGCAGGAGAGACACGTCTCCAAATCCCAGCGGACTTAAGCTGGGGCTCAAACAAATAGCAGCTATGGTAGCTTTGCAAGCTTCTTCCTTGTGCTCTGCGCTTAGTCCCTTCTATCTCTCTATTAACACTGTGACACATTCATGTAGGTGATGGAAAGCGTGGCTTTTGGCGAAAGCAGCTTCTCTTCCCGTCGTAAATAATGCTGCATGGACTGTAAAAATAGTGTCTTCCGTGTAACAGTTCGGTTGTTATTATTTATTCCAGAGCCCACGATCATCACCACTCTGCCTGCAACCTTGGATGTGACTGTGGGGGAGAGTGTAGTCCTACCTTGTCAAGTCAGCCACGATCCCTCACTGGACCTCACGTTCACCTGGTTCTTCAATGATCAGCTCATCCACTTCGGCAGCCATGGGGGATTCTTTGAGAAAGTGGGCGGCGTAAGTTAAACCGGCACATTTTTTAATGATGAATATGAAATGAAGTTAGCCTAGATGGTGAATTTATGGCTTATGAGAAATGGCAGTGATGGACAAATGAAGCTTCATGAAGCACTTGTGATCATTGTTGACTTCTCCAGAGGGCAATGTTGATTTAGAGATGCAGTGGGAATTTCCATTGCACTAGCCTTCATCATTAAACCAAGAGCACCGCGTAGACGAGTTACAAATATCACAAGCGCTTCATGAAGCTTCATTTTCGCATGGTATGTAGATAAATGCAAGATGACACATCACAATGAACAAATGGATGCAACGCAACAGGTTGCATTTGCATCCATTGATTTGCATCATCCTAGAGCACTGTAACTGAATTAGTTTCGAACTCGAATCTATTATTCCTCACTGGTTTCTTCCCTCAATCTTTCTTTTCAATAGCCGGAGTGGAATACAGTAATTACATGTCAAGGAAACCAACGTGTGGGTGCACTTGCCTAAATTGCAGTGTGCAGGCTTTATAAAAGACATGAATTTTGTTTCTGACCTCTACAAAGCATGATATCGAATAGAGGTCAGGATGCCGAACTGAGGATTCATTGGTAATTTTTGTTTGGCCTCTTTTAGCATACTCATAACAAATTCAGCCACGGTGCAGATGGAATGTATCAAGTGTATTATTTATGGCCAGAATTGCTGCCTGTAGTTTTTTGTTTGTTTGTTTTTTTCTGAAATTGACATCCCCATCCTCCATCCAGACTCTGTAAGCAATGCTGTATTTCAAAGTGTGTGTCTGCACTACACATTACAAACATATGCTGTCTCATCTTCTTTTTGAAAGTCTCACCTGATTCTAAAAAAACTGTAGGAAAAAAAGAGCAAAGCCAGGAATAGAACCGATCAATTCTCTTCTTATTATTCAGCTATTGCACTTGAAGATAAATAAACAGGGGGCAGCGTTGCGTTGCTGAGAGATTGCAGTCGACACCCAGTACACAGATAAAAGCACTTCACTGAATTGTTCCTGTCATTGTGCCACGGCTTTCCTCTGTGTCCAATTTATTAGCGGACCGGCTCGGCTCCACTCTGTGATATTGAAAAGGTGGGAATTGCTCCCTTTAAAGACCTAAACTGCTTCTTGTAACCGAGCCCCTCCTATGCGGCCATCAGGCGCAAGCTGTTTACGCGCTTACGTTTTCTGTAATTAAAGTCGCGGGACGAATACTTTGGGTGTCCTTGCAGAAAATGCGCGAGAGGAAAGTTGATGGGGCAATTTGAGGTGTTGTTTTTTTTCCGAGTCAAACATGGAAATAAGCTTTGTGCTCCCATGCGGCTGGATGGTTGAATTTTCAGCATAAGGAGATTTACCATGTGCGTACCTGTGTCTACGTCTGACTTTTTTTTTTTTTGAATGGCAGCAGCATGCAGCAGGAGACATTATGATTCGAAACATCCAACTGAGGCACGCTGGGAAATACACGTGCGCCGTGCAGACAAAGGTGGACAGCCTCTCTGTTGCCGTTGATTTGGTTGTCAGAGGTAAGCAAAACTAAAAGCATCCTCTCCACTTTAACTCTCCCTGTCGATCTTCCAAATTGTACCTTGGCGTGTATCTCAAATGCTTTTGTGCAAGAATTAATGATTGGTCAACGGTTGAGGAGAGTGGACGAGGCCAAGGGGTCGTGCTTGTCGTGCTGGCCTATGCCTCACAAATGAAATGGAAAATGGCAAGCTCTCTACTCTCGGTTGTAAATATTTTGACTGTCTCATTACACCGAGTAGTTCCCAACTGTCTGTACCGTGGCCGTAGGTGCCAAAAAGCAACATGACTCTCGTTCTCATCTCTCTGTCGCTTCCTCATTTCCATTAGCTCTCCCTCTTTCCATCTAACCGCTTCCTCCTCGCTCTCGCCCCCGTGATGCCGTCTCCCAGGTCCCCCGGGCTCTCCCACCAGCATCCAAGTCGAAGAAATCACAGATACCACAGTGACTCTGTCCTGGAGGCCCGGCGCTGATAATCACAGTCCAATTACCGCGTACACCATCCAGGCCAGGACACCCTTTTCCCTCGGGTGGCAGGCTGTCTCCACAGGTAAGCTCTCACCAACCAGCCGTGGCCTCTTCCAATCTCACCGAGGGGCTTGCTCTTTATTCGGGCTCTCCGGTGAAAATGTAGGAGATGTAATTTTTTTTTCCCCCCCATGTCCAAATGGGGCTCTATTGTAGCGTGACCACTGGCCACCATTTTATCAGACTCCTGGGAATCCTCCAACGTGAATTCCTTCCTGATGAGAAAGCCAGCGCAGATTTGATGTAAAATGATCGCACTGATGGATTTGGTTTTGCACCTCATATCCTCTCTGATAGCCCTTAGTCACCACGCCTGGCCGCAGTAATGATGTGTCGAGCATGCTGTGCACCTCGCTCCACTGATATTCTCTGAACTAAGGAAAATTTCACTCCAGAAATGGAAGGATCAGCTTCATTTATTAGTCTACGTCACTGTTTTATTATGCGATGAGATGCAACGTGAAGCGGACGGCAGTACCGGCCACTGCCGACTGCGTTCAGTGGCGCTCCTCCTCTCCTCTCCTGTCAGCATACAGTTTCAAGATGATGCACCCATGCAAGGTTTCTTGATACGGAAGGCAGCATTTGCTAAATTGCAGTTCCCAAAGTGGTCGGGGGCCAGCGTCTGACAGCCACTGTGATTGACCTGAGCCCTTGGGTGGACTACGAGTTTCGAGTCCTGGCCAGCAACACCATCGGGACCGGCGAACCCAGCAAGCCATCCAAACAAGCCAAGACAAAGGGGACCTGTACGTGAGGAACTCTCTCCCTGACTCTTCTTTTGTCAAGTGACTTTTTTTTGTTGGTCAAGTCATTGAACGATCCCTTTTAGTCCTGTTCAAGTATTGGCAAAGGTGTAGCATACATACCGATCCCCTCAAAGATGGGCCAGAACTAGGTCAGGGCTTGTGTATGATGATTCCATTGTCTGCAACGACTTCGCAAAATAAAATGGAGTCAAGTCAACACACCATTTTTTTTTCAGCATACTGATAAATCCAGGTTGTCCCCATCCTCTCACTCTAATGGGATTATATCCAAACAATTAAGAACACAAGAAAGTATATGATATAATATTCAGCAAGTTGTTCACTGTTGGATTTACTCAATTAGATTTCGTCAAGTGGCTGCACAAAATAAAATCATCTGGATGCAGAGAAGTGGACTTCAAAAATGAGTACATTCAGATCAATGTTCCGCCACGCAAAGTGTGACAAAGTTAGAACTTAAAGAGGGACTAAATGTCAAAAACGACCCTTTTTTTAAATACCTTTCATCGTGTTGACCAACAGTGAATCGCATTTACACTTGCATGACATTAAACCAAAGTGTGATGGAAAGCAATACCTGTTCAGGATCTGTTTCAAAGGTCCAAATTCCGGGATGGGATTTAATCCATTTGTATGATTTATCTAGGAAATGGCAATGCAAACAAATGGAAGGTTGCTCAACCTCCATATTGGGTTCGAGTTTCAGAGATCAACTGTCAAATCATTTTCCAGACAGCCCCAGATTTAAGAACGATGTCTTCATCTGCGCTTTCTCACTGCCGTGCACGCTGAGCATTGCTCCATGTCAGTTTTCAGCATCACGTCAGCAAGGCTAAGCCAATCTCTCTCTCTTTTTTGTTGTGTTTTTATTCCTGCAGCTCCGAAGGTCACTCCAGCGAGTGTGAGCGGCGGCGGTGGGAGTCGCTCAGAATTAGTGATCACATGGGAGGTAAGCAAGCACGCGAGGGATGTGTCACGCTCGGGTCATTTTTTACGACGTTGTGTGTGTGTGTGTGTGTGTGTGTGTGTGTGTGTGCGCGTGTGTGTGTGTGTTCTCTCATGGAGAGCACCGACTTGCTGTCAGAGCAAAGAAGAAATTGTTTTATGGTTTGGAAAAGATCATTCAATTCACTTGGAAAAGACGACCAAATATACTTTTGTTCACATTTTTTCTGAATGGTAGCCTTTAAATCTTGTGAGGATTCAGGCAGTTTCAAGTCATCAAGCCCCCGCCGTGAAACTCTTCACAATCACTGCTCACATTTCATTCTGCGCGAGTTTAATTTTAGGCATCTGCTTCAACGAAGCTTCGACTCTGATGCGGTCTTGAAATTAGCTTCTCACAGTCAACACCAAAACGGTGGAATGACGCTTTGGCCTCCAGTTCGCACACCAAAGCTAAATCCAAAGAAAAGAAAAAAAAAAAAGTCAAGTCACTGCTTGTTGTCTCTATCCACCGGCGGTGCCTGCGGCTAACCCGATTGCCGCCACGCCACCGGATATCACAATTTTCTTTCGTTGTGCATTATCTATTTAGCACCTCTATAATTCAGGAAACATATATGAATAAACTTGTCTCGAAATGCTTGGAGCACCGTCATAAGCTAAATTTCCTCCGTCCATCTGACTTTTCTGTACCTCAGTGAACACAACTCGGTAACCGAATGTGTGATTGTCGTTCAAACAGCCTGCGAGGTGTCGCTGCGTTGGCATGCGGGGGACTTATGATGCAGTCCTCTGAATTCCTCCTGATGATTAGCGACGCTGAATACTTGGAAATTATTTTTTTTTTGTCAAATGTCAAACCACTATCACGTCGCATTTGTCAAAACGTTCAATACTTTACAAAAAGGCAATACCATAGCACACCGATGTTCCACAATAGGTTCATGTGGAGCAGTTCACAGTCAATAAGCCGATTATTAAATATCTTCATGTGGCTGTGTCGGTTTTGCTCTGACAGTCAGTCAGGGGACAGAAGAATGCTGCCAGCTCTCTGGCCTCGTAGACCTGCCAGGACAGATTTGAAATCCGAATCATCTTCTATTTTTCTTTTGTCAAAAGAAACGGACTAATATTGTGCAAGCGACATCGGCCGTCACCACTGATTCTGAAGGCCCTCGGCAGATTACATTGACATGGCAGCATAGAGAGGCTGAAATGTGATTTGAGTTGCCGTGCGTGACGGGGTGTGTTTTTGTCGCAGCCTGTTCCAGAAGAGCAACAAAATGGAGCCGGGTTCGGCTACGTGGTGGCTTTTCGACCCCACGGCGCCACGGGTTGGATGCAGGCTGCCGTGCCCTCGGCAGAGACGTCCAAATACATCTTCAAAAATGAAAGCGTCCAGCCCTTTTCGCCTTTTCAGGTGAAGGTCGGCGTGTACAACAACGAGGGCGAAGGTCCGTTCGGACACGTCACGACGATCTACTCTGCCGAGGAAGGTGAGAATCCTGCCTCGCGTCCTACTTGGAATGTTTTGCTGGCTCAGCTGTGCGGCTGTTCATGTACATTATATCCGGTCAGAGTATTGGCTCTGGTCCAGAGGAAATGCGTGTTGAAATGGGGAGGTGGGGGAATAACAGTGAAACACCTTTAATGTTCCCGCTTGGAGTGATCGTCAAAACTGAGAGCTACTTCTAAAGTCCTTCTGAAATCTTCCACATCAGAACCCGGCCGAGCACCCACGAGGGTTCGTGCCAAGAGCCTCTCAGCGTCCCAGATTGAAGTTTCATGGAAAGCTCTTCCCTGGAATGCCAGTAAGAAAAGAGTGCTGGGCTACGAGGTAATCAGCGTGTCTCCTTGACTCTTTGTCTGCTTTCAGTGCTTGAAACTCGATGTTGAAGTTTCATGGAAAGCTCTTCCCTGGAATGCCAGCAAGAAAAGAGTGCTGGGCTACGAGGTAATCAGTGTGTCTCCTTGACTCTTTATGTCTGCTTTCAGTGCTTGAAACTCGATGCGCGCGTGTGTTTGTGTGCAGGTGCGGGGAGAGTTGAATCTTGTTCTCTTTCATTATTGATGAATGTCTTAGGCTAATGTACAATACCTTGGGCAGAGGAGATAATAGCTTGCTGCATGCATAATGGCCCCAGCGATGTCCCAAGGCTTTGGGGTTTACCATTTTATTTTTTTTTTCCCTTCTTGTTTTCCCAAGTGCTGCAACCTATCCTGACTCTTGTACTTCCACGAGGCTTTAACTCATTTCATGCTAGCTGTTTCTCTCTAAATTGGGAGTGCCATTTTTGACCATTTGACGAATTCTTGAAGGCAGAAAACAGAACATAATCAACCTAAAAAGGTCACTTTGATTGCAAAAAAAAAAAAAATGTTTATTGCAAAAAAACACTGCACTGATGCATGAACTTTGCATGAAATTTTTGTGAACATTGAACTTTATCCACGTTCTCACCAACGCGCTGCTTTCGCATGCCACCCGCCACTTGGGATCGTATACTTTATCACCCACACATACTCGCGCCATGTGTGGACCAAGATCAGATCAAAACCACTCCTGCCGTCTAGTGGTGATTGATCATACTGAAATCATTCCCACAGCCTTGATACTTCCTGTGGAGGTGCTCGAAGCCCTTTATCATTTATTTATTTATTTATTTTATTAAAGAACACCTAAAATGTATTTTTACATTTTGGCACGAAATGATAGGGTTTTTGCAAGCGCACTTTTACGTTTTGGAAATAAACCTGATGAGGAAAAGAAGATTTCACTTTGAGTCGAGCAACACCATTTCACACGCTGTTCTTTACACCCATTTGGCCGTTGTCATTTTAATTCGGATCCCCCGCAGCCCAGGATGTGAAGAAAGGAGCTACTTTCTTCCACTGAGTGCATGAAGTGGCAGGAATATAAATTGTTGACCACTTAAAGTCAACAGAGGAGCAGGGTTTGAGCAAAGCGTTCTCGCAAGGAAAGTCAAATTATATCTGGGACGTGAAGCATGTCCGCCGTTTCCGCCCTGACAACCACGGTGACAAAAGAAAACGTGTCATCAGTGCTTGTTGGCAGGGAACTGTTGAATATTTTGCTCCTTTTATTTGTTTTTTTCACGTCACTCAGCTTAAACTATCATACTTGTCCATTTGACGCATGTGGATCATGCCGGGCATGGCAAAAAGATGCACAAGGTAACGCCCAGCATCTTCCGTCCGCTTGCTTTGCCATCGACCAGCTTGCATTTAGCTGACAGGGCGTTGTAGCAGAAACCGTTTGCGAGCGTCTGTGTTAGAGTCGATCATTTGTTCTACCTCGTTGATTTTCAGCTGAGGTACTGGAAGCGAAGGGACAAGGAGGACACAGCCAGTGTGCAAAGAACTGTGGGAAATCAGACATCAACAATTATTCAGGGCGTCAGAGGCAGCACCACGTATTACATCTCGGTGAGAGCGTATAATACCGCAGGAGCCGGACCTCCCAGCGCCACCGTCAACGTCACCACCAAAAAACCACGTACGTAGCAAGTCGACTGAGAGCAGGACCGCAATCTGCTCCACCTTTTATTTGGCATGAAAAAAAAAGCCAGTGGGGTTTTGTTTTTCCATTTGTTTTTCCTCAGCACCCAGCCAGCCTCCTGGTAAAGTGATGTGGAACACATCCAACTCGAAGATCATATTAAACTGGGAGCAGGTTAAAGCCCTGGAGAATGAGTCGGAGGTCACAGGTTACAAAGTAAGTATGCTGGGGTGGGAGGGGGGAGTGTACCCCCCCGATCTACAGGTCATCTTCATCACGATGCTATTTTTGAACTCATGGCCTGGTTTAACTGTGTTAGGTGCTGTACAAAAAGAACCCACACAGCCATCCCAATGTCATGGAGACAAACACCACCTCGGTGGAGCTCTCCCTGCCCACTGATGAGGATTATATCATCCAGATCAAACCGTTTGGCGAGGGAGGGGAAGGCAGCAGTAGTCGGCAGATCACCATCCCGAGGATAGCAGGTCAGTGGAGAGCTCGTTTGTGTCCTCTGTGCTGGGCTGCATTATCCGTTCCCCCTGCTGACTGCCTGAACAGTAGAGATTCGTGATCATCATCTGGAGGAGCGCGGAGAGCGGGCGAAATAAAGTGCTGCCTGAGACCCCGTCGTCATTTAAACACCAAAAGGAACAGCAAATTATTGTACGGCAAAATGCAGCGCAACCTTCAAAGTCAAACACAAGTTGACCTTCAATTTGTTCGTACTCACACTGGGGGGAAAAAATGGAATAAAATGAAGCTTCATGAAGCAATGTTTTCCATTGATTACGTTTCCACAGCATCTTTAAACTAAGAGTGCCATCTAGAGGAGTCCAGAAAGATCACAAGTGCATCATGAAGCTTCATTTGTCCGTCAGGAGTAAGCGGTATGAACCAAACCCTGGCGTTCACCAAATTAAAGGAGGTCATTCTACTTGCAAGTTAACTCTGGAAAGGTTCTCTTCAGCTTCAGCGCAAATGCGACACAGAGCAAAAACGGCCGCCAGTTGCCCCTCCCTGGCTTCAATACTGTTTCGCTAAATCAGTTATGTCTCACCCACATCAATTCAGACCCGCTTTTGCCCAAATTTCAGGAATTAGATTCATTAGTTTCTCACCTTTTTGCATGATTATTTGTGCAAATACCGTAACGTTTCTTCATCGTCCCTTCCACCGCACCTCTTCACAGAAAGTAAGAATCAGTCTTTTTGCACACTCCTCCCAGATAAATAAATACAAATAATGCTAATCAGAACATAAAAGAAAGAGTCGAGACAGTTTTTTTATTAGATCAATAAAATTCTGCGTATTTTGCTGGTCTTTATCTTTTCATGACCTTTTCAGGTCCCAATGCAGTCGGCTCGGCATCCAAGGTCTCCACTCTATCAGCCCTCAGCACAATAGCGCTGTCTTTCACGGCGCGGACATCTTTATGACAAACAGCTCCCGGCAGACCTTGCATCTGAAGTGAAGACAGTCTACGTCGGAACGCAGGCGCACCTCTCTGGTGGTGTAACTCGACCCATTCATTTTGATTTACAGACTAAAGGAATATGCCGAGGAAAAGAGGAATACAAAACATACCGCTGGGACATTGTGGGAAGGTTTTCTTTGGGGTACCTTGGCCACAAGAGGAAGATGTACAGATGTCATAACCATGTTGTTACCAAAGCAGCTTTCATAAGAGGAGGAGAAACAAAATGTTGTGTGTGTGCATCTTTTTGTATGACATTCCAAGCTTTATATATATATATATATTATTTATTTTTTTCCTGCTGTCTAGGCAATTAACAGTATGCCAGATCTAAATCTCCCACTAAGTGGTGAAGAATGACTTTTGACCGCGAAACAGACCGCTTGGTAATCTTTTTCTGTCAAATGAGATGACGTGCATCTCTCTTTCATTTCTCTCTCTCTCTGTCCATAAACAAGACATGCTAATGCTTTACCAAACCAGTAGTGACGGAAAAATGAAGCTTCAAATGAGCTTCACAAACCAGTTGTTAGACGTTTCTAGATGGCACTCAGTTCAACGTTGGGCTGAAAGCTCCCTGACTTGCCATTTCTTAAAACCCTTTATTTAAACCAACAGTGCCATCTAGAGGAGTCAAAGAAAATACAATAACTGGTTCATGAAGCAAATTTGAAGCTGCATTTTCCCGTCACTCTGAACTAGTGAAGTCTGTAAACCCAACAACAAGGTTTCAAACACAAATAAAATAATTGTCCTTTTGATAAGAAATAATTGACAAAATGTGTATTTTATACAGTACATACACTGAGTGTGTCAACACTGGGACTTTCGTAACAAAATATCCAATCACGTTACACACAATTGCTTTAATTTGAGACACACCTCACGACACCTTTGGAATACACTTTCACGGCAGAACTGTTTTGCTCATGAATATGGGGTCCATCTGAGCAAAAAAGGGTTAGCATGCAAAGATTTTAGAACCAGTCCTCTTTGGTATTTGAACACATCTTCAAGTCAAGGAAAAAAAAAAAATCTTTGTGACAGTTGCCACCAGCAGCAGAGTGCTTGCTGTCGCTTCTAATCTTTGTGACAGTTGCCACCAGCAGCAGAGTGCTGTCGCTTCTGGGGCCGTCTTCTTCCCTGGTGGTCGGACCCTAGCTCCCCTTTGTTTGGGTTAGCCCAGTGTGAATAGCTATTCTTTGCCTTCTGTGTGCCTCATCATTACTTCAAAATCCTCAGGTCCTTCAACAGCCTTAACTTATCATAATGTATATTGAGGACAGTAGAATCGTAGAGCTATTATGCAGCCGTAGTGATGTTTACATGCTGCTGTTTTGACAGGCGTCAGTGTTGTCAGCTTTGGGAGTGTGGAGATGGTGGAGGGAATGGGGAGTGGGCGCAGGTTGATAGGCGGCTGAGTTCAGTTGAGGGATTTTGGCAATATGAGGCCTCGTGCATTTTTCTAGTTGTGTGTTCGAAAGACAATGCTAAATGACAATGCTGCTGATCTTTCCTTTTCCCCGTTCATCGTCTCCTGATGCCATGTGGGACGGCTGTGCAGAGGTGCTAGACAGCCTGTATGTAGCTCTTAGAGGAGTGGAACTGTCAGCTACTGGCTCTTGCACAGAATCATGCATCAGTGAATATGTAATATACTGTTTTGTACACTTCAAATCATTTATATGACCCCCCAAAAAACGTTTCTAAAAAAGATCCTGTTCTTGGTTTTTATGTATAATTCTGTTGCTAACTGTTGCTCAGCATGACTGTGCATACGTAATCCTCTGGCTCCTGACAAAGTGACTTTGATTGAGGACCATGCAGCATTCATACGGTTCATGCACGGTAGAGTTTTGTGTATATTGTACGTGTACCCTGACATCTTAACAACCAGTGGCGCTAAGCCCATGCTTCTGTCCAAGTCAGCCTCTCAGACATGTCCTGTCTGCTCAAAACGAGGGCTTCCTGTCTTGCTTTGTTGTTTATATTGTGTTAATAAACAATATTGCTTTATAAAAAAATTTAAAAAAATACCAGACTCTGTTGGTTCTTTCCTCAATGAGTAATGATCCAAGTGGTTGTTGATAAACAGCTGGGACCCTATTTTCGTGCTCTAATACAAGCACGGTCTAACTGTGCGCATGGGAGGCTTTTTCTTCCTTTTGGTAAGTTCACAAATGTGTAGTTAGAAATGGCTGTTTGCACCGTTGCAGCCGTGAACACAGCCAACTTTGTCTCCCGCCCAATGGACGTGGTGGCTCTCATTCTCTTTACATGCAGCACAGGAGAGGCATGCAATGGTGATGGGAAAATGAAGCTTCATGAACCACTTGTAATGTTTTTTTACTCTGGAATTTAACACCCGATCTGGGTAATATCTTTTGTGTTGTACAAGGGCTAGCTGCTCGTGTCAAACATTTAACTTGAGTCGTTTGGCGTTGCTCTGTGTGCTCAAACAGGACATCACATCCTTGTTTGAGACGCCAGAGAAAATAAAATGAGTTTTAAAGGGTCAGAGGGAGTGTTCAAGTTCTGTAATTTAACATTAATTAGAGAGGCTGAGTTTAATAATAAAATACAATAAAAATCAGAGCTGCCACTTAACCTTCGCCCCTAATTTCATCTTTTACCTGTCAAGACACAAGAAGCTTCATTCAGCACCATTTATGAATAAAAGTAAGCTGATTTAAAAAAATGTAACCCTCCATGTCCTTCACATAGAACTCCAACGTACCGCTTTATTAAGTCATATGAGTTCAATTGAGGGTCTTTTGAACCGAGAGTGAATTGTTAAATAAACTCATGTTTCTGAAGTTTTCAGCTCTTCCTCATACTGTATTAAGTATTGATAAATGCACTAGGTGGCGCTTTAAGCGCACAGGAGTGTTTGGAACAGACTCTCAACTGCACGCGCTCGATAGAACCACAAGAGGGCAATGTAGCATCACACAAAAGTCATACTGTACTCTGCACTGGATCATTTCTGATATATACTTTATTTATATATAGTATATATAAATAATATACTATATTTGTGTGTATGTATAGAATTTTTTGGGGGTCTTACAAGCAATTTTGAAACTCATCTGTTGTGTGAGAATCAGAAACATACTGTGAACCATACTGAGTCCTTTATTTATGCATGTATGTTTTTCATTTTCGCCCGAAAACAAATACAGCACATACACACCACCATGCACTAGAGGGATGGATTACAAAAAGCATTGGAGAACTGAAGGTGACGTTTGCTTGATGCTTCAGACTGAGCAAAGTTCATTCCCATTATCGTGGTACTAATGCTGGTTTCTACCTCATTATACATTTCTGCCTTTTGCCCAATAATATCCAGTTCCAGTTTTGAAAGATGCACATATTGCCCGTATCCTTTGCAGACAGGATTGCACTTTGGAGGCAGCGTTAACTGGCATTTGCCTCGATCATCAGCACATATCAAGCGGGCCTCTGGCTCTTGGGAGTACGACCCCAAATATAAGGCACCCGTAAATGAGACATTCCATAGACGTTCCGAGTGCGCTGCTGTCTTTTCAATGAAACATCATCTGTCATCCCTTCACGTCCTGGAGCATTAAAGCCTAAATCGAGCATGACGTAGTTTACAGGATAACACTCAGAAATAGGAATCTTTATAAATAGATAACATGAGTTTGTGGCCTCTCACCACTTGCTTTATCCCATCAGTAGTATGTCCATTTCTAAAGCAAAGACGTTATTTTCACGGTTCAAGTGCTGCATTTACTAGATGCAACTTGGTAGAACTATTCTTTCCACATCCTCTAAATTATATGTACTGTATGAACTGCGTTTGACAGTTTTAAGTCTTGCGAAAGGATGTAGACTTTGAAAAATTACCTCACCCCCCAAAAAAAGAAAAACTCAAACGCTGTGGTGGGTCTGTTTGGACTGTCACTGATTGTGTGCTATAGCTTTTTATATGTTTCGGTATGCTTGACAGTTCACAGTTTTCTCCCTTTAGAAGACAGCTAAGAAAAATGGCTGCTTATTGCAAATCTCACAAGCAGTGCACTGCTTGGCTTACCAGTAGCACAAGATTAACATTGACATGAAAACAGCTAACATGGCTCAGACTCTAACCGGAGAATTCATGTAGATGATTGCAATGCATAGTAGTGCAGTATCAAAGGTAAGCCAACACGATGAGTTTTCTGAACCGGGGCCGAGCATAGACCTCACAACCAAAACTGCGATGAATACAACGCCAAAGTCCGTGACTATACCTTCAGAACCATGACTTTGAAGTTGACAGAAATTGGATCCAATAAAAAAATAAAATATGCTTGAATGAATCAATGCAAACCTATCAAGAGTTGTGATGCAGACCTCTTGAAACATCCCTCCATTTCATGTCACATTTCATCAATTCCGGGACTTGCGAGGGCCTGGAGCTTAGCAAGTGAAACGTTGGAATGGCACCCAGGTTGGTTTGATCACAAGTCGCTCACAGGGAAATTGAAAGGAGCGTTGAGTTGGATCAGTCACACAGCAGATGCTGAAGCCTGCTATGGGAACTACTACACTACCGATGATTGAGTCTGATATGCAGAACACAAATATTTTGTTCTTTCGTTCCTCGACCCTGAAAAGTCAACACATTTCTTTCAGCTTTGCAATCATCTGTTTTGGTTCACGCCGACGTCATCTTTCTTCTAACACAAAATTTTACTTGAAGCCCAACGCAAATGATTAGCATTAAAGCAATACAGTTTTAGGGTTTTGTTTGTTTGGTTTTTTTTTTTTTTTTTTTTTTAGCATTTGCCATTAGTAGTCCACTTTGACACAGGCTGTTGAAGTACCCTACAAGACCGCAAATTTGAAAAGGCCTAAAAATGCCACAATACCTTCAAGGACAGTGTTTCCCAACCTTTATCAAGCCAAGGCACATATTTTACATGAGAAAAATCTCCTGGCACACAACCAAAACCAAAAATATCATCAAATGAATTCACACTGAAATAGTAAAGAGATATGCAGGATCTTCTGCCATCTAGTGGAGGAGCATTTAATTGTTCTGCCTGTCTTTGTGTGTCACTGACACAAAGAGATGAACAAAGATACATCGTAGTAGAGATTTTTTTTCCTGACGACCTCTCACGATACACCACTGTGCCGCAGCACGCGATTCTAGGATATAGCGCTGCATATCGGCGGTATGTCTAAAGGCCTTTGTGCTGCGCTCAAGTTGCTAACGTAAACAACTGCCGAAGAACTACAAAAAGTTTACATACCTCTGTTCAAGTGTCAGGTTTGTGTGATGTTTGGAGATAACACGGTTGTGTGCACAGCACGAGGCTGCTGCCAACATGTTTTACTCTTTCAGTTCTTTTAGTGATCGTGTCGGGCATCTTTGGAATTTTAGCTTTCGTTGGATACATTTTGCCGCATGATTTTGTTGGGGTACCAAGGTTGAAGAGTTTTTGGGCCATAATTTCAAAAGGTTTGTTTGCTCATCACCAAAGCAACACCAAAGCTACAGCGAAGCATTGCGGTGGCAGCACATGCTCTGGGGTTGTTTTTCTTCAACTGTAACAGGGGCCTTCGGCATTGTGGAAAGAATTATGAACAGTTCCAAACAGCAGTTAGTGCTCGCGCAAAACCTTCAGGATTCAGCTCAAAAGAAAAAAAAAATATCAGAAAAAGCCGACTAATCAGCCTTTCACTTGTGCAACCATATTATTTCAATTGATTTGTTTTATTTGCCCTCTCAAAAAGACGAAGACAAATATTTGATTATCTTGCAGAGATTGGAGGGAAAATGAAGCTTCATGAAGCACTTGTGATATTTTTTTCTTTTACTCCTCGAGATGGTGCTCTTGGTTTTATGACAAAGGCGAGTGGAAAGTGTTGATATTTATACCTTGTTTAAATTAACAGTGCCATCAAAAGGATTCAAAAATGATCATGAGTGCTTGATGAAGTTTCAGTTGTCCATCACTAGTTATCGGTCACATCAATGGTGGTGAACGTTTTGAAATAATTTCTCCGTCACATCACCAAGAATCGGCATTTGAACAGGGGTGTGTAGACTATTTCTATCTACGGTACATACTGTGATGCCAGGGAACACTTTCATTTTGGGCAAAGTAACATTTTACGATTTGCTGTCACTTACGGCACTGAACAAGACCTTCAAGAGTGACATTTCAGCATCTTTACAACCAAAGACCGAAAACGCCCAAGATGATAAGAATGACATTTCTCCGATAATGGATCATGTAAACCAAAGACAGCATTTACGTTGCAAGTAGGAGAGTTAAAAAACAAACATACACAAAAAAAAAAAAAAAAACACTAGCATAAACCTTCTGAAACATACATTTGTAATAAATTGGCTTTAAAAATCCCACACCCAAAAGAGAGCAATTTAAACAACGCATTGATGGTGATGGCAGGAAAGGGCTTTGATTGCAAAGCTGAGTCCCAACCGAATGTCTCTCTTCCGAGTTCAGCAACATCCAAATGTCTCCGCCGTCCGCTGGCCCGAAGATCTTTTGACATTTCCCCACGAATCGCTCGGTACCACCTTGCCTTCGCCGCTTAGCGGACTGATCAACTTTCCCGACAAAGGCGTTCCGTTTAACACAAGGCCATTTGTATCATCATCGTTTGTTTTAGAACTGCCTCTGCTGTTTTTTTGCATTTGAATCATGCAGGCTAGAATAATCTGATAATGTACATATTTACTTATATAGCAACACCGTGTTTGATTCCCTACAGATAAGAATGTAAAAACATTTGTGGGACAGTAGCACTGGCAGGGTGGTGCCCTTTCTAATGTAAAAACATTTGTGGGACAGTAGCACTGGCAGGATGGTGCCCTTTCTTTCTTGCATTTGCCGCATGTACGGGATCATCATGTATCGTCGTACAGAAGCAAATTATTCGGAAATAGATGGCAATGTGGCCGTAGTGTGTGCCATGAAAATTAAATACGATAGACGAGATCCAAACAAGGAAACGGTGACCCCAAATTATTGGGTCAAACCAAATCATCCTCAAGCAGGTGATCCTTCCTGCATTGCCCGCAGAAACTGGAGTCCGGATGAGGTCAGAGGGCGGGTCACAGCAGGTTTGTCTCAAAGGACAGGGGGATTGGTCGAACTGCTTGACAGTCTGTTCTCAAGGCAGGACGACATGGTCCACTTCCCACCAGGGGCGGGTCCGCATGTGTCCTCCCCCTCTCAAGCCACTTTGGCCAATCAGGACTGTAACGAGAGAACAATTGCGTGGACAAGATCCAAATCAGCGAATCGCGTCCCATTGGCGTATTTGTTTGATTTTACCTTCTGCTGTGGGTCCTCAGTGGGAGACTCCGTTTCCCTGATCACCACCGCTTTGGTCACGAGCATGTCGGGGTGCTGCTGCTTGGCCTCTTGTATGGCCATCGCGAGGGCCTGCGCGGAGGGGTCAAGAAGTTCTTTGGTCAGCTGACGATGAGGAGTACCTCAGCAATCGCGCTTCCTCACCTGGTGTTGGTCCACATCGTCATCTCCCGTGATGATAATTCTTTTCTCAATTCTGGTCTCTGAGTAGCCTCCTTTGACCGTCTGCGGCATGTGTACAGAAAGAGGTTTGTCGTGAAGGGAGATGCTCACTTCTCGTTGTAATTCGCTCTTGTCAAAGACCACAACGGGTGCGGGTAAAAACACGACATTTATTCGCCATTGAGATTTATTTTATGGATGTATTTTTTTCAGGGTGGTGTTCTACTTGTTCTTCGGGGATTACCTTGGTAACATGCGTTGTGGTCGCAGTGGTGACGCTTTCTGCGGTGAGGAACAGCGGCGATCCAATGGACTCGTGATCTTTCGTGCAGGCTTTTACCTATGCAACGCAGGGGTATAGCCAAGCGAGCTCATTCGCACATTCCATCTCATTGATGCATGTAGCCATTTGTGTCTGATCAAATGCTTACCGGCGATCCATTTTCTTTCATGCTCGCCGGAGTATCTCGGCTGAAGGAGAGTCTCTGTTGGAAGGACACAAGTCTTCTTCAGACATATTCCTATGTTGACATGGATAGACAGTTTTGCGGCACGGTTCTCTTCAGGGATGTACAAAATATGCGTGCACATATTTTGTAAACCCGAGTTCACTCCGCTGCATTATCTAATGTCAGTTGCCAGTGACAGAACAAATATGAGTTGGAGCATTTACTGCGTCAATTCTTTGGCACATCGTTGAAATCGATACCTCCCATTATGAACTACGTTACGCCAGAATTTTGGTGCCAACTTTTGGATTGGTCGCGAGGTAGTGGTGCTACTCTCTACTATGAAGTGCGACTCATGACTAACCGTGACGGGCTCTCACTGAGCTGCACGGACGACACTACCAAAGGCGCGCGTGTCATGTTTAAGGTCATCCTCCAATAGCGCACTTTTCTTTCAGTCTCAGAGCAAAAGCTCTCCTGGACATGCAGACCGCAGCAGTCAGATTCTGGCGCTGTTGCCGAGAAGGAACAGACAGCTTGGACAGGTCTTGTCTCCCTCTACTGGTACAAATGTGTCAACGCAAGGTGTGTGACGTCATTCTTAACACCGCATTTGACGTACACTCTGAAAACGACAAATAAAACGTCGGAGCTGAGATGGTCTGTTTGAAGCTTTGATTCAGCATCCAAGAGTTCTTTTGAGTGGTTGAACTTTTCATTCGGAAGTGGATAGTCAATCAGAAGCAACACGAATGCGCGGGCAATGATTTATACCTGGGGTGAGACAGGCGTGACGGTCGCTTGAACTTCTGAGCCGTTTGTGTGAGACTCTGTCTTGGAGTCGGCCCTCTTTAACCTCTGGGCCAAAGTCACAGCACTGGGCTCTCTTCTCGCCACTGGCGGCTGTGAAAAACAAAACGGGTTCTGATCAAAAGGCTTGTTCTTCTCATTAGCTTCAGTCATATGTTTGGTTATTTAACGCAGGTTGTTTGCTTGCAACAAAATGGAAATGGAGCGGAAAGGGATCCTTAGGAAAGACAGAAACAAAAGAAATCAAATGAATTAAAAATCATGATGAAATCATCTGAACAACGATGGCTGAATAAATCAACCTGCTGCATGGGAGTCTTTAACAGAAAACGACAACAAAGCAGGGAAGCCAGCCGAGTGGGATGAATCCACGAGGTGATGCTGATGAAGATCGCAAACAGTCATCCGTCTACCTCGCGATATAGTCCCTCCTCGGGAAGTTCCTCCTCTATGGGCCATTTGTCCGCTTGGCCCATGAGACGCGCAGAATAGAACCTTGACGTTTCCTCAAAGTCCTCCCGGCCCACCTCGGGCTGTCGCTCCTTCTCTCCCGGATAGGAACCGCCTTTGGTGACGATGTCCTCCATGCAGGAGTGGAGGTCCGTTATGACAGTGAAGTCGACTTCAGCCTCAAGGCTGGATGTGGAGCTGACCGTCATACTGGAGCACTTGCGCTCAATGCCAAGATGGCTCTCCCTCATGCAAGCCAGCGTGTCCTGCTCTTGCTCCTCCTCTGGGACCGCAATGGTCTGCGGCCTCCTGTCACCGAGCTCCTTCTGGAGGGGTACAGATACAGAGTCGCCGCTCTCAGATCGCGTACGCTGACTGCAGACTGATGATGATGGCCATGGCATGGAATGGGCTTCGACTCATGCTTGGCTCCGACACTGCGGACTCGTGAATGTGGTTTGAAGAGAAAGCCCCAAAATGCGCAATCGCCGTAAAAACCTATTTGGGGAAAATCCGGAGAAACCGTATCGGCCAGTGTAAGTACCAGAGCCTGGAGGAACTATTGTTTGTGGCTCGACGAACACCGACTCTAAGCTGCCGAGCGTTTGAGCTGGAGCCAGGCGCGTCCTGATGCGAAGTTAATAGTCTTCGCTTTAAAATAATCATCACTTTGCGGTGAGTGCAGCAAATACTAAAAAACCTTGCTGACTAAAAAGTCACGACAGCCCAAAAAAAGGATAAAAGTAAAACGAAGCTTTTATGTGAAGCATCAAAGGTAACCTTGCGCGTGATCTCACTAATAGCCAAATGCCAGATGGCTTATTTTGAATGCACGCATCCCGCGGAAGCGGCATCGTCGGTGAGAAGTCATTTTTTAGGCTTCCAAAAGGAGTCAGCTGTAGTTCCTTGGAAATCGTGTAAGCGAAGGGATGAAGATGAGGGGCGGAACACGTGAAAACGACTTTGAATACAAACGAATAACCTTGGCGTCAATGAATGGCTCATCATAAACAAAGGGGGCAGAGATGGGCTCCTGCAGGTGGAAGCAGAAGAAATGGCACATTAGGACAAGGTCAAGTGGAACAGCGATCAGGTCAACATGTTGACAAGCGCACTGCATTTGAATTTTCTTGATTCTGATTTGGTCAACGCTTGGTCGTGAGGTTGTTTTGCAAACAGTGGGAGCCAATGCAACACGCTCCCTTGCCTGCTTAATCCAATGCAGGATAAGAGGTGGACCCAGATGAAAAAGGAGGGCAAATGATGAAAGCCGTCAGGTACGCTTGTCTTCACTTTTTCATTCCGATGCCAAATGCGCGCACGCTTCTGATGATGCAGTTGAATGAAAGCACCAAATGGGAATGGCAAGAGTGGCGTGTGTCTGTCTGGCGGCTCACTACCAACCAACAGAGGAACCTGTGCGCTATCATCTTTTCATCCAGGTCAGGTTATTGAGAATAACAGATTAACGCTTCTCTGAAAAAATCCAAGATTTTTTTTTTTCTAATCCTCTCGATCTTTTTTAATGTCGTACTTTCTGGAAACGGTGCCAAAACACTGCAATCATCTGTAATTTAGGAAGATTGCTCTTGGTGAATGGCAACTCTGTTTGACCTCTCTTAGGTACATTTCATTTTTTAATTTGTGGGATCACATGCAAATAGTATGCGGCATGCAAAATAATAATGTGGCCTTCCAGCTTGACAATGCAGTGGAAACTGGGAAGGGGAAAAAAAAAAAAGAAAAAAAGCTATCAGAACGATAGAATATAAGCTTTAATTTTCTGCTACAGTGGAACCTCTCAAGATGAACGGCTGCAAGGTTGAACACACGCTGAAATGTCTTATTTTATCAAGTGGATGCACAAAATAAAATCAACTGGATCCAGGTGCATTTTTTGAAGGAGACGTACAGTCTCCTCCAAAAATCATGGGATACATTTTTTTAAGGAAATATCTACTTGAAACGTGCATCTGGATCCAGATGATTTTATTTTGTGCAACTACTTGACACAGAAAAATGGAGTAGATTTAAAACACACCTTTTGTCAGTGCACTGGAATTTGATCGTTTTAAAAAAAAAACAAAAAAACAAAAAAAAAAACAAAAGTGCGCAAAAAAATAAAAATCCGGAGCTCAAATTGTCGTCACACGTAACGTCGCATCAGATCTCCAAAAATCTTGAACGACTTTGGCTCAACGAGCATCCACAGGATCAAGCCCCTCCCAAGAATGGCTGCTTTTTCACTTTTTCGTCGTCTTTTTTGAGATGCCACCACAAACCAGCGATGGCAACAAGGACAACACGACGACAACTACAGGAGAAGAAATGACACGACAGAGGAAGGAGGTTCCACTGTAGTTTCTTTGAGTTGAGGATGTGAGGAAATAAAAACAGCCTTGTCGTCATTTGCATTTCCCACAATTCACAGGCGGCCATGAGTGACGGCTTTGACAGGCAGCGTGCGGTGAATGAAATGCAGCACTCGCACGCCATCCAGATGGAGGAAGCATGTCTTTTTACCGGCGGGGCCGGAGGAATCGTTTTCGAAAGAGGTGCGTTCTTCGACGCAAACATCGGACTTTCGGAGGACCCTGGGCAGGGATGAGGACTGTCGTCGGGATGCTCTTGTTTGGTGATTTTCTCCAAATTTGCTTCAAATGCTGGCTGGAGGCTGGAGACGTCAGTCCAAGTGAGATCTGAGGACCCCTCCGGAGAACCCACCGACCAGCGGTATTCTCTTCGCATGACGCGTGTTTGTTCATCCTGTCCTGCCCTGTCCCTGTCCCTGTCCTCCTTACACACGATGCTCATGGAGCGCTCCGGCTTTAGGGGAACGATCCTGGTGATTTCGGACTGATGGCTGCCTGACAGTCGGTGGACTGCGGCCCTCGGACGTCGGTCTCGAATTAGACTTTCAGTATCCTCTCCTCCAGAGCTACTAATCCTCCTCTCGTGTGTCCTGACCTGTCGCAGTTTGACCTCTGCTAACTCTTTATTGTCAATAAAGCCCTTTGCTCTCACTTTCGTGAGACCCTCCCCTTTTCCGCTCGCTAACGAACTTTCATGGTCTGGCTTGCCGGGTCCGTTTATTTCTGACGGCCCAACCCGGTTCGAGCTTCGTTGGATGGAAGCATCCTCGCTTTCTCCTGCCACTTTGTCCTCCGGTACGCTGTCTTCATCGACTCCGAAGGGCCGATTGGTTTCTGGTCCTTTGTCACCTTTCGGCAACGCCGCCGCCGATGCTGATTGACGGTGAGTTTCTGTTTCTGAATTTTTGTCTGAATTGCTGTCCAAGTCCAAGTCCTCGTTTTCTTTTTCGGAGGAATCACTCGCTCCTTCCTCGTGGACAAGCTCCGGAGGCATTCGCAGGTTTAAGCTCTGAGGTGGCCTCTTTGGTCTCTGCGCCAAAGTTGTTTGTTCCTTCTTGTGATGCGAGCCCAGGGCCAAACCGTCCTTTGCTTCAGCGCTCGAGGCTTCAGAGTGTTTGCCGAGAGATTTCTCTTGACACGGGTCTGCGTTTGCCGATAGCTGAATCTGAAAACGACCTTTGTTAGTGGCTCGCTGCTCAGAGGGTCCAGAGCATCCAGCTGCCTCTCTGGATGATTTTGCTGATGGAAATTCATCAATGTGGGCTTTCATTTCTTTTCTGTCAGACTCTGTTACGTCGAAATGCATCATCTTGGCAACAGCGCTCTCTTTTTCCTGCTTGTTTTTGTCCCAAGAGGAATCAGATGTGGGAGATGTGTCATTTTCTTGCACTTTCCACTCATGGTCTTGATGATAACTTTCTTGGGGTTCTATCAATACCCAATCCTCAGAGCCCTACGTTGGTATAGATTAAACAAAGTTAGACAAGCCAAATAGCGCTACAAAAAAAAAAAGACAATCTCCATGATTGATGGCCGTTTTGGTCAACATGTTTCTGGATTCATGAGATTGCATTCCTACACAGTAATAGAATTGATTGCACCAAACGACAAATGGTATGAAGGGTGTAACGTCATCACACAAAGGAACATGGAGAAACATTCAACCTCGGGTGAAGTGGTGAGAGTCTTCTGGGTGAAGCCCTCAACAGAGTGGCTGCTAATGGGGTCTTTCCCCACCACTCGACCCCCCAACTGGCCGGCACGAGAAATGTCGAAGGGGAGAAAGAACAGCCATTAGTGCTGCGACTGAGAGAAACGAAATCTGGCTCTTGAAAGAGAAACATATCATGAGAACATGAGGCAAGTGAAATCGAAAAAAGACTTTTGACGACAAATCCTTTCTTTGACAACTTCCAAAGCGACGGACCAAAACTACTCAATGCATCCATCTCAGACATGAAAGTCCCACCAAATCTTTTTGGCCGCAAGACTTTATCTGTTCGACTCGCTCAAATGGAACATTACCCGTCTCTCTCTAAAGCAGAATAACAAGACAGAAAATAGATGACATTTTCCGCTCCAAAAAATGTTTGCTGTTCCACGAGCATAATCAATTGTCTGCCTGCAAGCTGCGATTTGATTTTCTGCCGCCCAACCACTGAGGACAAAGGGCTCATGATTGACAGGGAAAATATTATTGGCGGCAACGGCCGGCACTTTTCATGTAAAAAACAAAAAAAAAAAAAAAAAAAAACCACACACACACAGTGTATGCAACAGTGTATTGATTCATTGTTGTTGACTGGATTTGGTTTTGTTTAATCCTCTTTTTATTAAAAAAAAAAAAAAAAAAAAAAAAAACACACACACAGTGTATGCAACAGTGTATTGTTTCATTGTTGTTGACTGGATTTGGTTTTGTTTAATCCTCAAATGACACGTAAAAAAAAAAAAGACGATAATTGGCTGATAAAACGTAATCAGAAAACCTTTACGGTGACCAAAATGAATCGCTTGGATAATCGATTCTTCTAAAAACATTCCACAGTAAGAGGCCAAGAGCGTATACGACACACTTGCGACTGTTGCTTCGGCATCAACATGAATCATTTGGTGATGACAGAGACAGCACGGGCGGTGAGGAGCTCAGTGTCTCACTCAAGGACACTCGTCTGTCACATTCGAATACTTCTGAGTTCCTGTCAGGGGCAATTGAGATCAACACAGACAGAATATCTAAAAGGGGGACTGGATCGTAAATTTCACATTTCATTCAAATGAAACTGCAAAGTTACGTACTTCCATAAGAATGCACGATAGACAAAACGGCTCACTTCTTAATCAAACAGTAGTGTGAAAAGTTTGGAAAACGGTGAGCCCTTTAAGTCCACAATACTAGTCAGCGTATCTTGCTACAGAAGAAGCTTGTCATTAAGGACAAATCGGTGAACACAATCTTGAATGATTTCAAGACAACGAGAGAGACAACAAAGCCGAAAGACGGTTTCTCACGGGACAGTGACTGGAATATGAATACACTTTGGAATGGACAAAAATTCACTCAAGTTGCAAAATACAGTGACATTCCAAATATTCTTCCCACGCGCCCCCGAAGCGCCAACTCACAGCTTTTTTCTCCGGCGTGCTGGGTGGCGATGATGCTGACAGACGCTTCTCGCGGCTCATCAGCTTGCTGTTGGGTTCCTTCAGGGCTCTCTTGAGCTCGTTGATGCTGGCCTGGTGCTTCAGCAGCACATCCTGCGACTTATCCAGAAACTGGAGGCGAAACACCCAAGAAGAAGACGCATCATTAGGACTGACTTTTTCTCACAGCGATTAGGTATGCAGGATGTCAGACAAAAACTAATACGTCCAATTCTACAACGCATGTTGGACAAGATCATACGATGTCCTCCTGTACAGCGACCCCAGAAAAGCAGGCAAATGACACTTCCACGCATGCTCGGCATTGAAGCGGACAAACATACAAACATCAAAATGACTAAAACTTGACCAAAATAAACAGTGCATGACATATTCACTCGGTTGTGTCATTTCACACTTGATGAATGGCCAGGAAGTCCCAACTTCATAAAATGGCTCAATTGACATCATTCAAACTACAATCCATCCAAGCGGATGACGGGGCTGAAGACGACACGAGGCAGAAGGGGAGCAGCACGCATACGTGAAAAGGCGAAAGGAAGGGAAAAGTTGAAGAAATGAACCTGTACATCCTGCTTGTGCTGGGGGGTGGCGTCCTCCTCCAAATGACACTGCTGATTTGGAGAAGGGGACAATGTACAAGGAAGGTAGACAAGAGAGTGGACAGAAGTCACGAGGGCAGGGCCAGGGAAGGCGGCATAAACGGCAGACAGACAGACAGACAGAAAGGGAAGCTCAATTCAGCCACTTGTCACGTTTTCATTTAAAATCCATGCCAGCTGACATGTAAATACATCGTGGCTATATGGTGAAAAACACGTCCATTTTGTGTTTGTTTTGGGGTTTTTTTGGGGGGAGGGGGTTACGTTGATAGACACACCATCAACGTCAAAATAAAAAATGACAAACGCATTTTTCACAGGACAGCGACGATATGGTGCTACTTTCTAAAAAGCTCAAATGAGAGCGAAATATCGACACGAGAGGAGCAACACCGGAGCTTAAATTTCGGATTCAAATTTGCTTCTTCCACTAGCCTTCCCTCCAATGTGGAGTTAGCACGTTCTCCCTGTGCATGTTTATTTTTTTTTTTTTTTGGCGCAGACACCCAACATGATTTCGATCCCCTCGGAATCCTACGGAGCGAACAAGACGGCAATGGGTGGAAAGTGTCCGGCAACGTCGGTCTTGATAAATTCATGCGGCCAACCTTGGCGTTGTGCAGGTCCACCCCGTACATGGACAGTTTCTTTGCATTCTCCAAAAAGTTAATTTCGGCCTCCGCTGGAGTCATACCCCTGCGGGTAGGAAAAAAAAAAAAATCCTGTGACCAACATCAATAGGGATCTTCGCAGTCTTCATTTCGAAAGCACTTATCTCGCACATTGAGAGCAGAGCTGCTCGGCATTTTAGTATTCAGCCCAAAATCGAGAGCAGCGTCTTGGAATGTGCCCGCATACAATGACATCGTCGTGACATTTCATAACTAAATAAATAAAGATGGCAAGACAATGCGGGGAAACTGTTCCCCTGAACCCAGACAGGAAACTCACGTCGAGGAAAAAAAAAAAAATCCACTTGAAAATGATTCTAGCCTGATGGACCGAAGTGAGATTTATCCAACAGTGTGTGGAGTTGTACTTGTAGTTTCGATGGAGCTCCATCACTCTCTCCTCCAGCTCCCGAGTCTGATTGGGAGCGAAACGGAAATCGCTGACATAGTCCAACGCGTGCTCGTCGTGATCATAGTCGCCGAGCTCAGCTTGGACCGTATAGGAGCCCAGGAGGGCGTGGGTGACAAACGAGCACGGCAGCCGACCTGACAGCATGTCATCCCTCAGCTGCAGACTCCTCCTCATGATACTCGAGCTCCCTCCTATCTTCCCAAACTTTTCTTGTTAGGTTCGTTCACGACTTGAAATTGTCCAATGGTGTGAATGTGACAGAAAATGGCCTCTCGCCACCAACAAGCCACTGAGGACAAGCGCTAAACGGAAATGGATGAGCTTGAGGCCGTTAAATAGATGCCGAACTGTTTGAAGGGTTCCAAGCAGGCAGACAGAGACTCAATGGACAGGTGATGTACCTCCTGTTTACTGTCAACCGGTGACCCGGCCTCCTCCTTTTGGTCAGCGAGTGGGCAATAGAAAAAGTCAGGAACAAGAAACAAGTCACGCGTTTGAACGTTTCACCATCATGATGTAAAATGGCGGCAGTCAAGAAAGAAATCAAAGGAACGGATCGGGCAAAGCCAGCCAGACGTTGGCTTGCGCCGACTCGACCTCAACAGCTTTCCGTTCATGCGGTGGTCATTGACATAAAGGAATTCTGGCCCACCATGATTTCTTTCTTCTTGCTTGGCGTGACGTTTCCTTCCTGGTCATCGTCTCTTTCCGTGTCCTCCTGGTCCGGATCGTCCTCGTCCTGTTCCAAACTGGGCTCCGGCTCAGTTTCCTGCTCGTCCACGGAGGGGCTGCGGAGACCGCGTCGCTCGATGACGCCGCGATGGAAGAGGCCGTCATGATTCTCGCACGTGGCCGACACCGGCCGGGAGAACTCTGCTGGTAAGGAGAGCTGAATGAGCCCAACGAGAGACCGAACCTCGCACGCACGTCAATGAGATGACCCTCTTACCTCCATCCAAACTTCTGGAGAGCAAGAGCCTCTTGCTAGTGGACCGCTCAAAGTGAGGGGCGGGTCGGTCTATGAGAGCGCTGGCCTGTCTGCTTTGAGCCTGCGTTCTTCCACTGTACCGAAACTTTGAGCCCATCACCAGGAAGCCCTTGGGGGGAGGCTCCGGAGAAACCAAACTGTGAAAGCAAAAACCCGATTCGGATCTTTCCAGCACATCCACTTTCAAAAGGGCGGCGGGAAAGCAAGGCGTTCTTCCCGAGAAGATTTCAAAAGACGACGGGAGGTTTTGTATCCGTTCCCGGGGCTCCTCCGGCTTATTCTTTTCATGTCCTCTGCGGTTTCGAGCAGCCACCGAGCAGTAAGTCAAAGATTCATCATGATCCAGACAGCTTTCCGTCTGGCTGCTTTTGCATCTTTATATCTCATTCTCAAATTCTGCGTGGTGGAACTTGTCGGGCCTGTCAAGCGGCGACCGCATTGCCCGTCGACCGCAAAGAGGGAAAGGACACCGAAGGAGACGGCTGCGCAAATGGAATGTTTCGTTTGCCTCAAATGGATTCTTACCGGAAGAAGGTGTGATGCTCAATGCAGACTTTCCACAACCTTTTGGCGGCTCTGTGGTTCGGAAGTTTAAAACCAATCGTGCTCTCAAACTGCTCGTACTGGAGAAGGGAACAAAAAGGTGAGCGGGACTTGAGTTGCTGCTTCTTCTTTTTTATAATTGAAGACATTTTGTTAGCTCTCCCGTTCGAACAATTTCACTGACACCGAAATCGGTCAGAATCGTTGCGGTGACGTTCAAAAAGCTGCCCGTCAGTGCAATTAATCCAGTGCCTTCTGCTCCATCCAGACAAAACAAAAGTGTGAAGAACATCACATGTTTAGGAGTCGGCAGAGAGCTTTTCGTGTTTTCGTGGCTGCAGCTGCAGCGGCTCACTTGAAGGGACTCTTTCTTTGGCCCAGTCACAGGCTTGCTGTCTGGGGCTGTCACTTGACTGGGCTCGGCGCATACAAAACGAGCATTGTGATTTTCAGGATGGAGGAGAAGCTGTGGCGGCGTCTTACATGGTGGGAAGGCCAGAATGTAGACCAGGCACGGGCGCAATTTGCGACGTGGATGTACGCAGGTATGCATTTCGCTTCATTGAGTCAGTGACTGCGATTTAAGATCTCCTCATCATCATCTGCATACAGTGCGGATGAAAACGATGCAATACAGTAGCGAGCGGACGTATTTTTTACAATGGTGTTTTCCCAAATGTCCGTCTGAGGCGAATTACGGGTATATATATCAATATTGGTCCGGGATTTTTAGATACTGGTATGACAAATTTGACTTTGATGACGTTGCAAACACGACTACTTCATCTCGCCGAGGTTGCGTACCTCTCCAGGCCTGATCTTAATATAAAAGTTGCTCCTCTTATAGGAGATCTTAAGGATCTTTGGCCAAGCGAAGCGGTTGATCCTCAGCCTGTCGCGGTACACCAGGAGGCCGTTGGCGCAGACACCCAACATGATTTCGATCCCCTCGGAATCCTACGGAGCGAACAAGACGGCAATTGGTGGAAAGTGTCCGGCAACGTCGGTCTTGATAAATTCATGCGGCCAACCTTGGCGTTGTGCAGGTCCACCCCGTACATGGACAGTTTCTTTGCATTCTCCAAAAAGTTAATTTCGGCCTCCGCTGGAGTCATACCCCTGCGGGTAGGAAAAAAAAAAAAATCCTGTGACCAACATCAATAGGGATCTTCGCAGTCTTCATTTCGAAAGCACTTATCTCGCACATTGAGAGCAGAGCTGCTCGGCATTTTAGTATTCAGCCCAAAATCGAGAGCAGCGTCTTGGAATGTGCCCGCATACAATGACATCGTCGTGACATTTCATAACTAAATAAATAAAGATGGCAAGACAATGCGGGGAAACTGTTCCCCTGAACCCAGACAGGAAACTCACGTCGAGGAAAAAAAAAAAAATCCACTTGAAAATGATTCTAGCCTGATGGACCGAAGTGAGATTTATCCAACAGTGTGTGGAGTTGTACTTGTAGTTTCGATGGAGCTCCATCACTCTCTCCTCCAGCTCCCGAGTCTGATTGGGAGCGAAACGGAAATCGCTGACATAGTCCAACGCGTGCTCGTCGTGATCATAGTCGCCGAGCTCAGCTTGGACCGTATAGGAGCCCAGGAGGGCGTGGGTGACAAACGAGCACGGCAGCCGACCTGACAGCATGTCATCCCTCAGCTGCAGACACAGGTAGTATCTGTCAGATGAGAGAAAAAAAAAAATAGGAGGGGAAGGCTTTGGCAGTCAAACAAGGCGGAGGAAAGGCAAGCTCCAACGTGCATTCAGCGCAGTAAATCCTGGCCTGTTGGTAATGTTCCGCTTCTAATCCTTAAATAGGAATGAGGGATTTGCTTTTGCTTTTGACGGTGTGGGGAAATAACAAGGTCAACTATTGCTACGGTACCTCGATAGAAATGGCAAAGCAATTGGTTGCTTTTCTCCTTGAATGAACATACTTAAGACACTACCTGGTGATATCCTCCGTGAGTTGGGAGGGTTCCGGAGGGTAGAACTTGACAACGAAGGCAAAGTTCCACGCCGCGTCTGCAGAGAGAACGAGAGCTGAGAAATCAGGACCGTCACGTCTGCCCTCCTCATTTCTGAAAGAAACACAGAATGGGCGCGCTCCTCACACCTCATCTCCACCTGCGTAACCCAATTCGATCCAATACAAGAGACGAAATTCAACTCCGACGTGACAAAGAAGACGACTCGGTTTATGGAGTGACCGCCGTTGTCCAAATCGTTTGCCTTGTTGCATGTGCTGGACCAAGACTTGTTTTCTGCTGCTTTGTGGGGCAACAAGTGGCCTCGGGTAAGGCGAAAATGCTCCAGGCGAGTTATTATTTCAAATGATACTGATTTCCTCCGAGACTCAGTGTTGAGTTAGCCCCCGTTTAGAAGTGGAAAATAAAGGGGACCAAGCCACCGTGGCAGAAGTGGGTCGGCGCAAATGGCTCAAGAGGACGTCAACTTCATCGTCTCCCATTACACCGCTAAAGGGGACCAAGCCACCGTGGCAGAAGTGGGTCGGTGCAAATGGCTCAAGGGGACGTCAACTTCGTCGTCTCCCATTACACTGCAAAAAGCTGCCCGTCAGTGCAATTAATCCAGTGCCTTCTGCTCCATCCAGACAAAACAAAAGTGTGAAGAACATCACATGTTTAGGAGTCGGCAGAGAGCTTTTCGTGTTTTCGTGGCTGCAGCTGCAGCGGCTCACTTGAAGGGACTCTTTCTTTGGCCCAGTCACAGGCTTGCTGTCTGGGGCTGTCACTTGACTGGGCTCGGCGCATACAAAACGAGCATTGTGATTTTCAGGATGGAGGAGAAGCTGTGGCGGCGTCTTACATGGTGGGAAGGCCAGAATGTAGACCAGGCACGGGCGCAATTTGCGACGTGGATGTACGCAGGTATGCATTTCGCTTCATTGAGTCAGTGACTGCGATTTAAGATCTCCTCATCATCATCTGCATACAGTGCGGATGAAAACGATGCAATACAGTAGCGAGCGGACGTATTTTTTACAATGGTGTTTTCCCAAATGTCCGTCTGAGGCGAATTACGGGTATATATATCAATATTGGTCCGGGATTTTTAGATACTGGTATGACAAATTTGACTTTGATGACGTTGCAAACACGACTACTTCATCTCGCCGAGGTTGCGTACCTCTCCAGGCCTGATCTTAATATAAAAGTTGCTCCTCTTATAGGAGATCTTCAGGATCTTTGGCCAAGCGAAGCGGTTGATCCTCAGCCTGTCGCGGTACACCAGGAGGCCGTTGGCGCAGACACCCAACATGATTTCGATCCCCTCGGAATCCTACGGAGCGAACAAGACGGCAATTGGTGGAAAGTGTCCGGCAACGTCGGTCTTGATAAATTCATGCGGCCAACCTTGGCGTTGTGCAGGTCCACCCCGTACATGGACAGTTTCTTTGCATTCTCCAAAAAGTTAATTTCGGCCTCCGCTGGAGTCATACCCCTGCGGGTAGGAAAAAAAAAAAATCCTGTGACCAACATCAATAGGGATCTTCGCAGTCTTCATTTCGAAAGCACTTATCTCGCACATTGAGAGCAGAGCTGCTCGGCATTTTAGTATTCAGCCCAAAATCGAGAGCAGCGTCTTGGAATGTGCCCGCATACAATGACATCGTCGTGACATTTCATAACTAAATAAATAAAGATGGCAAGACAATGCGGGGAAACTGTTCCCCTGAACCCAGACAGGAAACTCACGTCGAGGAAAAAAAAAAAAATCCACTTGAAAATGATTCTAGCCTGATGGACCGAAGTGAGATTTATCCAACAGTGTGTGGAGTTGTACTTGTAGTTTCGATGGAGCTCCATCACTCTCTCCTCCAGCTCCCGAGTCTGATTGGGAGCGAAACGGAAATCGCTGACATAGTCCAACGCGTGCTCGTCGTGATCATAGTCGCCGAGCTCAGCTTGGACCGTATAGGAGCCCAGGAGGGCGTGGGTGACAAACGAGCACGGCAGCCGACCTGACAGCATGTCATCCCTCAGCTGCAGACACAGGTAGTATCTGTCAGATGAGAGAAAAAAAAAAATAGGGGGGGAAGGCTTTGGCAGTCAAACAAGGCGGAGGAAAGGCAAGCTCCAACGTGCATTCAGCGCAGTAAATCCTGGCCTGTTGGTAATGTTCCGCTTCTAATCCTTAAATAGGAATGAGGGATTTGCTTTTGCTTTTGACGGTGTGGGGAAATAACAACGTCAACTATTGCTACGGTACCTCGATAGAAATGGCAAAGCAATTGGTTGCTTTTCTCCTTGAATGAACATACTTAAGACACTACCTGGTGATATCCTCCGTGAGTTGGGAGGGTTCCGGAGGGTAGAACTTGACAACGAAGGCAAAGTTCCACGCCGCGTCTGCAGAGAGAACGAGAGCTGAGAAATCAGGACCGTCACGTCTGCCCTCCTCATTTCTGAAAGAAACACAGAATGGGCGCGCTCCTCACACCTCATCTCCACCTGCGTAACCCAATTCGATCCAATACAAGAGACGAAATTCAACTCCGACGTGACAAAGAAGACGACTCGGTTTATGGAGTGACCGCCGTTGTCCAAATCGTTTGCCTTGTTGCATGTGCTGGACCAAGACTTGTTTTCTGCCGCTTTGTGGGGCAACAAGTGGCCTCGGGTAAGGCGAAAATGCTCCAGGCGAGTTATTATTTCAATTGATACTGATTTCCTCCGAGACTCAGTGCTGAGTTAGCCCCCGTTTAGAAGTGGAAAATAAAGGGGACCAAGCCACCGTGGCAGAAGTGGGTCGGCGCAAATGGCTCAAGAGGACGTCAACTTCATCGTCTCCCATTACACCGCTCTCCTCTCCATCGCGGCCGAAAAACAAAAGAACCAAGCGGCCAAACTCTGTTTGAAATCAAACGCAATGAAAGTGGCCAGAAATGTCCAATGGCAGCAATGACGGCATTTTTTCCAATTTCCTTCTTTGTCTGCCGTGAACGCAGACGAACTCCGATGCGGAATTTTCCATCACTTTGTTCATCGACTGCAAATTGTGGTCTCCTCTCCATCGCGGCCGAAAAACAAAAGAACCAAGCGGCCAAACTCTGTTTGAAATCAAACGCAATGAAAGTGGCCAGAAATGTCCAATGGCAGCAATGACGGCATTTTTTCCAATTTCCTTCTTTGTCTGCCGTGAACGCAGACGAACTCCGATGCGGAATTTTCCATCACTTTGTTCATCGACTGCAAATTGTGGAGTGAAATGTGCATCATCCCGACGACTTCCTGGATGAGAAACTCACTGCGCATCTGTTTCTTGATCTCCTTGGAGGGGTCCAACCAGTTCTGGAAGACAGAAGGCGGACAGGAAATGTAATGCGAACACCGGTGACACGTTTGACTTTAATGGCCATGTGTGTTTGCTCTAATGACAGCCTCTGCATGTGCTTAAAGAAAGAAGGCAAGTCTCTCCGCAGCTGAGCTGGAGACAATTTTAATGAAAGGATCCGTTTCTTCTTTCTTTTACGAAACGAGTGATCTTCAGCCTCCTGCTCCGATCGTGTCTAATAATGTGTTCCGTGTTGCAAATTGTACATGGCACGATTTGTGATTAAGCCGCTAGAAAGGGCTCACTGGGGCCCGCTGACCAAAAGTAATGTTACTGCACACTCATCTAGCAAATGGAAAAGCAATGGAATAAAATCTAAAAAATAAAAATAAAATAAAACACAAATTGCAAATCTCGTTCAACCTACATTCACTTGAATACACTACAAGGACAAGAAAGCTCACCTTCAGACTAGTTTGTTTTCGTTGTTTTTCAGATTTTCACTCAATTTGAATACGATGCCTGAAACTCCTCACTGCTTTGATATCACATCAAAAGTTCCACACGACGTTTTTCTCTTGATTGTTCAGTAGTTCAACCCTCGCTTGTCGAAATGGGAAATATCCAAAGTCATCAGCGATGCAATATGCAACAAGTCACAACAAGTGAGCTGTCAAGATGTCTCTTTGCGTAGATGACGGTGACGGCGGAGGTTCTGCGGATCTGAGAGGAACTGGGGTCTTGTCATCTTTTCCGCCATCAAAAGGAAGGATCGTCCTCCGTGGCCGGTTGCGCAATAGCATACCTGCCTTTGAGGAGGCCAATGTCTGTCAAAACCGCCAACCTACCACTGAGTCGACATGATCAGACAGCAAGGCTCCCTCAGCTCGCCGCGGTGACGGTTATGTAATTTTATGAGAGGAGGCCAGCTCTGTGCATGCTCATTAATACGTTGTGGGCCTCCACTCGAACAAATCCGTTTATTTTCCGCCATGTCAAGTACAATCCCCATTTGAAAGGAATAAAAGGAGTCCCTCGGATTGGTGGTGAATCAAGTCGGCTGTGTTCACACCCACAACAGCACGAAACACCCTTTTTTTAAATGCGCCATTCTGCGCCCGCTTGCACAATTCTGCAAAAATATCAACACTCAGTCTAACCGCAGGTCCACCCCGTACATGGACAGTTTCTTTGCATTCTCCAAAAAGTTAATTTCGGCCTCCGCTGGAGTCATACCCCTGCGGGTAGGAAAAAAAAAAAAATCCTGTGACCAACATCAATAGGGATCTTCGCAGTCTTCATTTCGAAAGCACTTATCTCGCACATTGAGAGCAGAGCTGCTCGGCATTTTAGTATTCAGCCCAAAATCGAGAGCAGCGTCTTGGAATGTGCCCGCATACAATGACATCGTCGTGACATTTCATAACTAAATAAATAAAGATGGCAAGACAATGCGGGGAAACTGTTCCCCTGAACCCAGACAGGAAACTCACGTCGAGGAAAAAAAAAAAAATCCACTTGAAAATGATTCTAGCCTGATGGACCGAAGTGAGATTTATCCAACAGTGTGTGGAGTTGTACTTGTAGTTTCGATGGAGCTCCATCACTCTCTCCTCCAGCTCCCGAGTCTGATTGGGAGCGAAACGGAAATCGCTGACATAGTCCAACGCGTGCTCGTCGTGATCATAGTCGCCGAGCTCAGCTTGGACCGTATAGGAGCCCAGGAGGGCGTGGGTGACAAACGAGCAAAAATAGGGGGGGAAGGCTTTGGCAGTCAAACAAGGCGGAGGAAAGGCAAGCTCCAACGTGCATTCAGCGCAGTAAATCCTGGCCTGTTGGTAATGTTCCGCTTCTAATCCTTAAATAGGAATGAGGGATTTGCTTTTGCTTTTGACGGTGTGGGGAAATAACAACGTCAACTATTGCTACGGTACCTCGATAGAAATGGCAAAGCAATTGGTTGCTTTTCTCCTTGAATGAACATACTTAAGACACTACCTGGTGATATCCTCCGTGAGTTGGGAGGGGTCCGGAGGGTAGAACTTGACAACGAAGGCAAAGTTCCACGCCGCGTCTGCAGAGAGAACGAGAGCTGAGAAATCAGGACCGTCACGTCTGCCCTCCTCATTTCTGAAAGAAACACAGAATGGGCGCGCTCCTCACACCTCATCTCCACCTGCGTAACCCAATTCGATCCAATACAAGAGACGAAATTCAACTCCGACGTGACAAAGAAGACGACTCGGTTTATGGAGTGACCGCCGTTGTCCAAATCGTTTGCCTTGTTGCATGTGCTGGACCAAGACTTGTTTTCTGCCGCTTTGTGGGGCAACAAGTGGCCTCGGGTAAGGCGAAAATGCTCCAGGCGAGTTATTATTTCAAATGATACTGATTTCCTCCGAGACTCAGTGTTGAGTTAGCCCCCGTTTAGAAGTGGAAAATAAAGGGGACCAAGCCACCGTGGCAGAAGTGGGTCGGCGCAAATGGCTCAAGAGGACGTCAACTTCATCGTCTCCCATTACACCGCTCTCCTCTCCATCGCGGCCGAAAAACAAAAGAACCAAGCGGCCAAACTCTGTTTGAAATCAAACGCAATGAAAGTGGCCAGAAATGTCCAATGGCAGCAATGACGGCATTTTTTCCAATTTCCTTCTTTGTCTGCCGTGAACGCAGACGAACTCCGATGCGGAATTTTCCATCACTTTGTTCATCGACTGCAAATTGTGGAGTGAAATGTGCATCATCCCGACGACTTCCTGGATGAGAAACTCACTGCGCATCTGTTTCTTGATCTCCTTGGAGGGGTCCAACCAGTTCTGGAAGACAGAAGGCGGACAGGAAATGTAATGCGAACACCGGTGACACGTTTGACTTTAATGGCCATGTGTGTTTGCTCTAATGACAGCCTCTGCATGTGCTTAAAGAAAGAAGGCAAGTCTCTCCGCAGCTGAGCTGGAGACAATTTTAATGAAAGGATCCGTTTCTTCTTTCTTTTACGAAACGGGTGATCTTCAGCCTGCTGTTCCGATCGTGTCTAATAATGTGTTCCGTGTTGCAAATTGTACATGGCACGATTTGTGATTAAGCCGCTAGAAAGGGCTCACTGGGGCCCGCTGACCAAAAGTAATGTTACTGCACACTCATCTAGCAAATGGAAAAGCAATGGAATAAAATCTAAAAAATAAAAATAAAATAAAACACAAATTGCAAATCTCGTTCAACCTACATTCACTTGAATACACTACAAGGACAAGAAAGCTCACCTTCAGACTAGTTTGTTTTCGTTGTTTTTCAGATTTTCACTCAATTTGAATACGATGCCTGAAACTCCTCACTGCTTTGATATCACATCAAAAGTTCCACACGACGTTTTTCTCTTGATTGTTCAGTAGTTCAACCCTCGCTTGTCGAAATGGGAAATATCCAAAGTCATCAGCGATGCAATATGCAACAAGTCACAACAAGTGAGCTGTCAAGATGTCTCTTTGCGTAGATGACGGTGACGGCGGAGGTTCTGCGGATCTGAGAGGAACTGGGGTCTTGTCATCTTTTCCGCCATCAAAAGGAAGGATCGTCCTCCGTGGCCGGTTGCGCAATAGCATACCTGCCTTTGAGGAGGCCAATGTCTGTCAAAACCGCCAACCTACCACTGAGTC